TGCTAGAGAGTCACCCTGTGTCTACTAACACCTACAGGGACAGGAAGTTCACTCCTCCCGACACAGCCCATTTCTCCTTAGGAAGAAAGAAAAAAAGACTGATTCTTGAAAGAAGTCCAGAAAAAATGGGGTTAGGGGGAAGATTTGCCAGTAAAATAGAGAAAGCAGTAGGTAGACCAAAGAGGAACAAAGGGAGGTTGGTATCAGGGAAGTAAAAGGAAGGGTAGATCAAGAAGGTACAGGAGAATTAGAACTTAGGCTATTAGAGTTAGATAAGGAAGCCTCCTGATGACTGAGGAGAGGATAATACCAAAGCAGTGGTGGAGACCAAAGTCAGATTTCCAGGGCCTAAGATAGGTTTGGTGGGAGGAGTGGAGAGTGTTGATTGTTCAAGCAAAGACTCCTCTAGTGGACTTTGTACGACCTCCTCCATTAGCAAGGTGAATTCGAGCCTTCCTTAGTACTTGCAGATAAAAGACTCACATCTGTTATGAATACTCAAGACTATGTGAATGCCATTGAGAAGGCAGGTGTATAAGAATCCAGCTGTGAATGACTGCTTTATAAAATGGGATGAGTTTTGCAGGTGCAATTTTGTGGTAGCTCATGTGCAGCTAGGCTGGAGACATCTATTGCTGTGTCACCAATCATCTCCACAACTTAGTGGCAGGAAACAATAATGACTTACTATCCCATTACTTTCATGGGTCTGGAATTCAGACAGGGCACAGCAAGGACATCTTATGTCTTCTCCATGTCTCTGGGCCTCAGCTGAAGACTCAAGCTGAAGCTTACCTGGGACCAGAGGATCCACCTTCAGTCATAGTTCATTCATGGGCCTGGCAAGTTCAAGCTGGAAGTTGATTCCTCTTGACATGGGCTCTCCACAATGTTGCTTGTATGTCCTCGCAATGTGGCAGCTGGCTCCCCTGAGTGAGAAATTCAAAGACCCAAGGTAGAAACTGTAATTTTTGTGAATAAGCCCTCCTGGGAAGCCCTTCACCATCAGGTCTGCAATATCTTATTGGTCACATGGATCAGCGCTCTTCATTGTTTGAGAGGACTACACAAAGTGTGAAAATCAAGGGGATCATAGAGGCCACCTTGGAGGTTGGCTGCCATACCTGGCATGACAGAGATCAGTTAAAGCCAGATTGGAGCAATCCTGACAGAATGCTAAAGAGCAGGCAGCTGGCAGAGGCCCAGGCCTGCCTGAGGTGGTTCACCATCTTGGCTATTCCAACCAAGGGGTCAATACATGGTGTTTTGGTCTATCAGGTTTTTTTTTTTAGAGAGAAAGGGAGAGAGAAACATGGATGTGAGAAAGAAACATCGATAGGTTGCCTCCCACACATGCCATGACTGGGGATTGAAGCCGAAACCTGGTTATGTGCCCTGACTGGGAATCGAACCAATGACCTTTCAGTGTACAGGATGATGCTTAACCAATTGAGCCACACCAGCCAAATAACCTTCCTCGGTAGAGAGTTTATAGTTTCCTGAAAGGGAAGTGTCAGCTGGGACCTTCGGAGCAAAGCCACACAAAGCCACTTTGCTGGGGTGGGCATACTCTTTGCTTGCTACATGTCTATGGGATGTACGGTTTCTGAACGCAATTTCTGTGGCTGCTAATGAATTTAGAGCTGAGTGGGCAGGGGTAGGAAAACAACAGCAAGGCTTCAAAAAGGATTTTCCACTGAGCAAAGTTAAAAAGAAATTGACATGATGTAGTGGATTTGGATGAAAATAGTTTTCTCACTCTTTGTAAACAGAAAGCCATAAATATGTATGGAGGAGCCAGCAGGAATTTCCACTTTGACTCCTTATGGTTAATGTACATCTGCAGCTGTTCTACTGACCCACAGGACAACTGCAAGCCTAACATTTTTCCTTCTCATCATCTGTTCCACCCCCTGGTGGGAGCTTTCCTGCTATTTTGCCTTTCCGATGGAATGGTACAACTGGGGACAGCTGAGATAGCTCATGCCTAACACAGGGCAGGGAAAACCAGTGGGACAAGAGGTGAGTGTTACCAGACACTCACGGGACCTGACCTGAGTGGGTCCACGTAGGGCCAAGCTCATAGTGAGTGGGTTCTTGACTTCGTGAAGAAAAGATTTCCTAATGCAAGTCCAGGTGATTTTGAAAGTACATTTATTAAAGCTGGGGCCCTGGCTGGTTTTGCTCAGTGGTTAGGGCATCAGCTGGAGGACTGGAAAGTCCCAGGTTTGGTTCCCACTAAGGGCACATACCTTGGTTGCAGTTTGTCCCGGCCCCGGATGGGGTCATGCGGGTGGCAGCCGGTGGATATTTCTCTCTCACATCGATGTTTCTCTCTCTTTCTCCCTCTCTCCCTCCCACTCTATCTGAAGATGAATACAAAAATGTCCTAGGAAACTAGACCATCAACTTACACCATACACAAAAATAAACTCGAAATGGATAAAAGACTTAAATGTGACCCGTGAATCCATAAAAATCCTAGAAGAAAATGTAGGCAACAAAATTTCGGACATCACACACAGCAGAATTTTCACTGATACATCACCTAAGGCAGCAGAAATAAAGGAGAAAATGAACACATGGGACTATATCAAACTCAAAAGCTTCTGCACAGCAAAAGACACAATCATCAAAATGGAAAGGCAATCCACTGTATGGGAGAGCATAATTGCCAATGATGTATCAGATAAGGGGTTAATCTCCAATATATATAGAGTGCTCATACAACTCCACAAAAGGAAGACAAAGAACCCAATTAAAAAATGGGCAGAGGAGCTGAATAGACACCTCTCCAAACAGGACATACAAATGGCCAAAAGACATATGAAGAAATGCTCAACATCACTAATCATCAGAGAGATGCAAATTAAAACAACAATGAGGTATCACCTCACACCTGTCAGAATGGCCGCCATCAACAAATCATCAAACAACAAGTGTTGGCGAGGGTGTGGAGAAAAGGGGACTCTAGTACACTGCTGGTGGGAATACAGACTGGTGCCGCAGCTATGGAAAACAATATGGTGCTACCTCAAAAAATTAAAAATTGAACTTCCATTTGACCCAGTGATCCCACTGCTGGGAATATACCCTAAGAAGCCTGAAACACCAATCAGGAAGAATGTATGTACCTCCATGTTCATAGCAGCACTATTTACAATAGCTAAGATCTGGAAACAGCCCAAGTGTCCACCAGTAGACAAATGAATAAAAAAGCAGTGGTACATATACACAATGGAGTACTATGCAGTGGTAAGAAAGAAAGATCTCTTATCCTTTGAGACGACATGGAGGGACCTGGAAAGTATTATCCTAAGTGAAAGAAGCCAAGCAGAAAAAGACAAATACCACATGATCTCACTTATATATGGAATATAATGAACATAACAGTCTGAGGAATACAGTAGACCCAGACACATGGAAGTGGGGCACAGACTGACATCCCTCAGAAGAGGGGATGGGGGGGTAGGGGGGTGGGAAGAGATAAACCACAGAACTTATATGCATGTGTGCATGACCAATGGACATGGACAACTAAGCCGGGGACGGGGCGGAGGTGGGGTGGGGTGGGGGGCGCCAATGGGGTAAAAAGGTAAAATATCTGTAACAAAAAAAATAAATAAAAATTCATAAAAAAAAAAAAATGTCCTAGGGTGAGAATTTAAAAAAATAAAATAAAAAAATAAATAAAGCTGGGGACAGTGAAACAAGGAAGGGCTTAGGGTAGAAAAAGCAACAGGAGAGCCTGGGCTGGGCTGCCTTGGCTCTCTGGGAAGTTAAAGAAAAGGGGGCCTTGGGGACAGGTTCCGAGGATTAGCCTGGGATGAGCTGCTGCTGCCCATTGCTTCCCTGGTTGCAAGCCTCTTGGGGTCCCTTAGAGTTTAGGAGATGCATGCCTGTGGGGCAAAAAGAGAGGAAAGAAGAGGGGAAAGGGAATGGCACAGGCTGCTCCCCAGAAAGAGAGCACAGTGCGGGGTCCTTTACCTTGAGCTTTTCATCTCTCTTTTGCAGGCAGGAATCTTAGGGGAGGTCTCAGCAGATTATTCTCCATTTTCTAGGTGTGTTCTTTCAGGGTTGTGGTCTCTGACTGGTTGGTGCCAGGGCAGTGTGTCATTAGTTATTGTAGCTGGTCCTGACATCACCCACCTGGTTTTGCTGCTTTTCTGGGTCTGGAGCTGAAATACAACTGAAGCCTAGATGTTATCTCTAGGGAGGTGACCTTCTGTATCTGGCCATAAATTGCTTGGTCCGTTTGTTCAGCTATTTGTCTCAATTTCCCTATTCCACTTGTCTTGGCTTACTGGCCTGTCTCAAAAAAACCAAACAACCTCCCCCCCAAAAAAACTAGGTGAACATGGGAGAGCTACTGAGGTGCCAAAGCACAGCTGCAGAGCTTGCCTACTAGAAAAGTATTGCCCAGAGTGGGCTGTGTCTTTGTCCTGGAGCGTGGAGGGGACAGGAGCACCTCAGAGAGATGTACCCCTGTTCTCAGTGGAGGTCACTGCAGCTGAGACCTGTTGCTTCTAAGTAGCTAAGTCATGATGCAAAGGAAGGAATTTTCCTGCAGGAAAACAAGGGCTTCAGTTTCCATGACACAGCCTCTGCTGTTACTGTGCTGTGTGACCAGGGCAAGTCGCAAACTTCCCACCTGTCCTTTCCTCCTCTGTGCATAGTACTAACCTGCTCCTCTGGGGCTTGAACACGTCGTTATTAAGTACAGAAGAAATGAACAGATACTTACTGAACTCCAAAACCCCATTAGGTGAAAGCTGAAGTGTTACTTTGAGCAAAAGTGTTATTTTGCTCTGCAGTAATTACCTCGGTTTCTTCCAGTGCTGTGTGCCATTAAGCCAGGGCCACTGGCCTGGGGACTGGATGCTTGGACACCTGTTTGCTCGGCCTTGCTGTATGCCTGGAGTACATTGCTCCCCAGCGGGCCTGCCACTTTCAAATAAGGGACTTCCCTCTTCTGGGGGTGGTGACTTCAGGCATTCACAATGGTCCAGCGTTTGACATACCATCGGAGGCTGTCTTACAACACAGCCTCTAACAAAACGAGGCTGTCTCAAACCCCTGGTAATAGAATCATTTACCTTTATACCAAGAAGGTTGAAAAAACACCAAAGTCTGCATGTGGTATGTGCCCAGGCCAACTTCATGGAGTTCGTGCCATGAGACCTTACGTTCTAATGAGGTTGTCTAAAACGAAAACACATGGCAGCAGGGCCTATGATGGATTCACGTGTGCCAAATGTGTCCGAGACAGGATCAAGTGTGCTTTCCTTATCGAGGAGCAGAAAGTTGTTGTGAAGTATTGAAGGCACAAGCCCAGCGTCAGAAAGCTAAATTAAAAAATGAAGCTTTTTGAGTAATAAAAGCAAAATAAATAAAAGGGACTTGACCAATAGTGCTGTCTGCTCTGGTCTTTCGCGGCCTTGGATCTAAAAGTTGGAGTGGGTCCGGCTCGTGTGGCTCAGTGGTTGAGCATCGACCCATGCACCAAGAGGTTGCCAGTTTGATTCCCGGTCAGGGCACATGCCCAGGCTGTGGGCCAGATCTCCAGTGGGGGGCATGCAGGCGGCAGCCAATCGATGTTCTCTCTCATCGATGCTTCTCTCTCTCTCTCTCTCCCTTCCTCTCTCTCTAAAATTGGCAAAGGAAAAAAAAAATTAAAAAAATAAATAAATAAAAGTTGGAGTGGCCACATGGTACCACTGTGGAATGTGGAATGTCCAGCCCAGCTCTTCGGGAGAGCTCAGGATTACCCCATCCCGATTTTTCACCTTGACTATACAATACCCCCCCCAGGGGAGCTTGTAAAAATACCATTTCCCTGCCTTACCCAGACCAACTGAATAAGAATCTGAGGGTGGGGCTCCTGCTTAGATATTTTTTTAAAGGCTCCCGCAGGTGATTGAAATGTTCCATCAAGGCTGACATCACTTAATCCTTCATGATTTACAGCTCTCAGCAGAGAGAGGCTCAGGTCTGAGCACCAGCCCAAACACCCTGTTGGCATCAGAACTGGGACTGGGCTTCAAAGCTTGTGAACCCCAATTCTTGAAAAGTACTTCCTAGAGGGGCATGTCTTTTTGGATGACAGATCCCTTTGATAATTAGAGAAAAACCAAGGACTCTCACCCCAGAAAACATCGCAGAAGCATACCAACATAAGCCTAAAACTTTAGGGGCTTTACAGAGCCCCAGAGAGGACCATTGCTGGGTCTGTAAGGAGTCCCCTGTGTCTTAATTCATTGATAATTTAGTTGGGTGGCTTCTGGTAAAGATGGCGGAGTAAGTAAATGCAGTACACACCTCCTTCCACAACCACATCAAAATTACAAGTAAACTACAGAACAACCATCCTTCAGACCATCTGAAATCTAGCTGAACAGAAGTCCTATAACTAAGAATATAAAAAAGAAGCCATGTCAATACTGGTAGGAGGGGTGGAGACACAGAATGGGCTGGTCCCACTCCAGGCGGGGTATCTTAGCTGTGGAGGTCCCGTCTGAGGAGCCAGGGGTCCCAGCCCGAAGCCAAGCCCCCCAGCCAGGGTTCCAGTGCCAGGAAGAGGAGTCCCCATAATGTCTGGCTTTGAAAACCAGTGGGTATTGCGACAGAGAGAGACAAAGGGCTGTTGGAGTCTCAGGCATTCCTCTTTTTTTTTTTTTAAATAAAAAGCTAGTATTTTTTTAAATGTTTTTATTTATTTTTTAGGGAGAGAGATATAGAAACATCAATGTGAGAGAGAAACATTGATCAGCTGCCTCCTGCATGCTCCCTACTGGGGATCGAGCCCACATCCTGGACATGTGCCCTGACCAGGAATCAAACCGGGACCTCTCTGTCCATGGGATGATGCTCAATCCACTGAGCCACACCGGCCAGGCCCAGGCATTCCTCTTAAAGGGCCTATGCACAGACTTAGACTCACTTGCTCAGAGCTCCAGTGCTGGGACAGCAGCTCGAAAGGCCAGGTACATGGAGGAGTGGGGGGGGGGGGGGGGGGCGGGGACTGAACTGTGGGCTCAGGATGAGGGCTCGAGGGGCAGCTTTCTCCCAGAGCCATCCTTCCCCATAGAGCCATCAGGCAGGTGCTAGATCTGACTAACACTGTTTTTCTTCACCCTGAAGATTCCCTGAGACCCCACACCACCCAAGCCATTTCCAGTGGCTCTTTCATACAAATAACCTGTCTTGGCTCATGCTGTGAACTTTTCTAAAATCTCTCAAAGTTCACAAATCACAAATAAGAACCATTTGGCCTCAGCACATCCTATACCTCTTGCTGAGTGGCCCCCGGCCTGGCACTAGCAGCAGCCAGCCTTGGTTCACAGACTGGCCTCTCCTGGGCCCCTCCAAGCCAGTACAAGTAGCAGCCATGTGCAGATTGCTTTGTAGCTCTTGTTGGGAAGTCCTGGGCAGGGCACAGATGGTGACTTTGGCCTGCATCTCCTGGGAGGCCCCAGAGCCAGTGCAGCTGGTGTATAGCTTCAGATAATGCTGAAGCACCCAACCACCTCTATGAGTGACACACTCAAGGGGCAGACTCAGCAAGCACCAGAGTATGAATGAAGCAAGTCTTGCTTTGTGGGGTTGGCCCCTGAATAGCATATCCTTTGCTGTGGTCACAGCCAGTTCTTGCAGCCGATCTGCCTAGGGGGAGGTGGTCAATCCCTCTCATTGATGTGCCTAAAGCACTCAAGACTCAACTATAACAGGAGGGTATACGCAGCCTACATGGGAACATACCTGGAGCACCCAGCTAGAGTGACCAGGGAGGCTTTGCCACTGAGCCCTACAGGACATCTACAACATAAGGCCACTCTACCATGCCTGGGAGACACAACATCTCTATATCATACATAGAAACAAACACAGGGAGGCAGCCAAAATGAGGAGACAAAGAAACATGTCCAAAATGAAAGAACAGAACAAAACTCCAGGAAAAGAACTAGACAAAATGGAGACGACAATCTATCAGATGCAGGGTTCAAAACTCTGGTTATAAGGATGCTCAATGAACTTAGGGGAAGAGTAGAGAACCTTAGTGAGAACTTCAACAAAGAGACAGGAAACATAAAAATGGAAATAGAAAACATAAAAAATAACCAGTCAGAAATGAAGAATACAATAACTGTAATGAAGACTATGCTACAGGGAATCAACAGTAGAGTACATGAAGTAGAGGATCAAATCAGCGACTTGGGAGGTAAGGAAGCAGAAAGCACACAATCAGAACAGTAAAAAGAAAGCAGCATTAAAGAAAATGAGAGTTTAAGGAGCTTCTGGGACAACTTCAAGCATACCAACATTCACATCATGAGGGTGCCAGGAGCAAGAAGAGAGAGAGCAAGGAAAAGCTGTTTGAAAAAATAATGACTGAAAACTTTTCTACCTGGTGAATAGGAATACAAGTCCAGGAATCACAGAGAATCCCAAACAAGATGAACCCGAAGAGGCCCACACCAAGACACATCATAACTAACATGCCAAAGGTTAAAGATAAAGAAATAATCTTTGTTGTGGTGGTTGTTAATCCTCACCTGAGGACATTTTCCCATTAATTTTTAAAAATATGTTTTTATTGATTTTAGAGAGGGGGAAGGGAGAAGGAGAGAGAGACATAGAAATATCGATGAGAGAGACACATCAATCAGCTGCCTCCTGTACGCCCCCTATTGGGGATCGAGCCTGAAACCAGGCATGTGCCCTGATCAGGAATCAAATCTGTGACCTCTTGGTGCGTGGGATGACACTCAATTCACTGAGCCGCACCGGCCTGGCTTTCCATTGATTTTTAGATGTAGTGGAAGTAAGGGAGGAAGAGAGAGAGGAAAAAACATCAATGTGAGAGAGACACATTAATTGGTTGCCTCCCGCATGACCCCAACCAAGGCTATGGATCAAAACTGCAACCTAGGTTCGTGCCTTTGACCAGACTCTAACCCATGACACTTTGGTGCACAGGCCAACACTCTAACTGCTGAGCCAAACCAGCCAGGGCTAAATAAAGAATCTTAAAAGCAGCAAGAGAAAAGCAGTTAGTTACCTGCAAGGGAATGTCCATAAGAATGTCAGCTAATTTCTCAACAGAAACTGCAGGTCAAAAGAGATTTGCATGAAATATTCAAAGTGATAAAAAGCAAGGACCTACAACCAAGATTCCTTTACCCAGCAAAGCTATCATTTTGTTTTTTTGTTTTTTTTTTATCCTCACCCGAGGACATTTTTCCATTTTTCTGTTCAGACAGAGCGGGAGGGAGAGAGAGGAAGAGAGAGAGAGAGAAACATCGATGTGAAGGGACACATCGAGTGGTTGCCACCTGCACGACCAACCAGGGCCGGGGACAAACTGCAACCGAGGTACGTGCCCGTAGCGGGAACCGAACCCGGGTCTCTCTGTACCGCAGGCCGACGCTCTAACCGCTGAGCCAAACTGGCCAGGGCAAAGCTATCATTTTGAATAAAAGAACAGATGAAGACCTTCCCAGACCACAAAAAGCTAAAGGAGTCTATCATCACTAATCCAGTATTATAAGAAATGTTAAAGGGTCTTCTTTAAGAAAAGGAAGGGGGGGGGTAAAAAATATGAATAATAAAATGGCAGTAAATATATATCTATCAACAGTTAATTTAAGTACAAATGGTTAAATGGCCCAGTGAAAAGACATGTGGTGGCTGAGTGGATAACAAAACAAGACCCTTACATATGCTGCCAGCAAGAGACACTTTAGATAGAAAGACACACAGAGACTGAAAGCAAAGAGATGGGAAAAGATATTTCATAAAAATTAAAATGAAAAAAAAAAAAAAGCTGGAAAAAAAAAACAAGAATAAAAACAGCAAGAACAAAAAAATAAAGGGAAAAAGAGAAAAAAAAGCTGGGGTATTTATATCAGACAAAATAGACTCTAAAACAAAAGCTATACCATGAGACAAAGAAGAACCCAGCAATTCCGTTCTGGTATTTGTCCGAAGAAACCCAAAACACTACTTTGAAAAGACTTGTACATCCATCACTGCAGCATTATTTACAACAGCCAAGATACGGAAGCAATGGAAGTGTCCATCAATAGATGAATGGATAAAGAAGAAGTGGGGCATCTATACAGTGGAACATAACTCAGCCATAAAAAAAATAAAATAAAATCTTACCATCTGCAACAACATGGGGACCTAGAGGGTATTGTGCTGAGTGAAATAAGTCAGACAAAGACAAATGCCCATGATTTTACTTATATGTGGAATCTGAAAACCAAAATAAATGAGGAAGCAGAACAAAAACAGCCTCATAAATACAGAGGACATTTTG